CCTCGGACAGAGGCTGCTCTCGGCCAGCGGGAAAGGACCCCAACTCCTCCCCACCCCTCCTGAGCCGCTCGCACCACGAGCCTCAGCACCTCCAGCACGTTCACACCGGGTTCAAACCAGCTGGAAGTGCAGACGTGGGTGTGGAGGACCCGGAACAACCGCTCCCGGCTGCCTGACCCCCCACCGAGGGGCTGCCCGTGGGACCACCCCGACTCCAGCTGCCCAGAGCCCGGGCTCTGGTGCCTGAACGTACCCCTGGATACAGGGGCAGCTCCACCAGGATCCATCCCTCTCCTCTTGCAGAGATCCCAGCAGCTCTCCTGGCTCTCCTTTTACTTCCCAGTTTCCCAATTCCAGCACCATCCTTCCCACAAGCCGCTGGACACCACACGAGTCTCCAGGAGCCAAGGGGAGCACCCAGAGCCAGCCCTGCCATCCGCCAGGAAGAAGCCACATCCAAATCCTCTCCGGGAAGATTCCAGCACCTGCACGGCCCCAAAAACCTTCGGATTCTTCCCATTCCTGGACCCAGCCCGGTCCGGGGGCTCCGCACCCCCCGCCAGGCAGGAGGACTTTGGTGAGATGGGGCTGGAAACCCGATCCCTCCCGCCAGCTCCAGGGGGGAGGGAATGACCTGGATACTCAGTCCTCCCCTCTGGGATCAGCAACCTGGGGACGGCCCCGCAGAGCCAAGAGGAGCTCAGCGCTGCTCAGCACGACCGAGGGGCTCAGGGACCCACCCGGAGCCCCCAGAGCTTGGAAAACACCATCGGGAAGGGTCTGCCCAGCCCTGCCCCCTCCCCAGCTTCACCCCAGCACCACCAGCCTGAATTAGAGACTTAAGGGTTAAATTTGCCAAACCTCTATGATGCTGTAGAAGAGAATCTGTTAATGTTTGGTCTCCCTGAGAGACCAAGCAGCAGGATTCACTGGGTACATCAGCCAACCTGCCAGAATGAGGAACAACATGACCCAGCACAGCAAGGAGGACCACGAGCCTTCCTCCCAGAGACCCCTGCCCACGACCCCTGAGAGGCAGTGGGCGTAGCTTGATGTTAATGACTTCGGGGAAACGATTTAAATATTATCATGAATTCAGGGAATTAATCTGTATAATCCTGCCTTTCTTTTGTCAGGTAATGCATATGTGTATCTTGAAGTGAATAAACAGGTGCTGCTCTTGTCCCTCAGTGTGTCGGGAGGAGCGATCCCCGCGCTGCAGTAAAGAACCTGCTTTAGAGCTTCTCGGGGCTACAGAGTCTTTTTCCTCGTGTCAAGCCCCCCCAGGGCTGGGCAGGGAGCACCCACAGGGATCACAGGCCAGTCAGAGCACTGGGCTTCAGCCCAAATTACAGAGAAAAACCAGACTCAGTCACTTTAACCCCTCCCTTCCCTCCACTTGTCACCACGCTCCTGCCTCCGCAGTGACCTCTGGTGACCTGCGGTGCCCACACAACGACAGGTCATTAACAAGTGAAAAGCCCCGACATTCCCACCCAGAACCTCCCCAGCTCCTCCAGCCCAGACCGAGGTTCCTAACGAGCCCCCGGGGCAGCCGATAACCCTGCCCCGGCTTAGAGCAGCACCAGCTCACAGGATGCTCATTCCTACACGGCTCCGGGCAGTTTTGCTTCAAATTTCGGGCATAAAAGGGCTGTCCCGGGTCTCCTGGCAGGAGCTGATGCCAGCCCACCCTTCCTGCAGCCACACCGGGATCCTCCCCCTGGCAATACCGGGCTGCCTCACATGGCTCCTGTCCCTGGGAAAAGCCACCCCCGACGAAACGTTTTACACTGACAAAAGGAAAATCAATCGCTTTAAAAAAATCTCCCCCTCCTGCTTGGAACAAAAACCAAACCCAAAGTGTCTGCGTGGGAGCCCGGGGATCTGTCCCACGTTCCCCAGAGCACATGTTCACACATTCCTTCCTCTTTGCCACAAGATGTTGGAGCTGCTGGATCCCAGACGCTCTGGCTGAGCCAAACCTGCAGGAGCTCTGCCAGGTGACTCAGCCCCAGCTCACAGGGCTCTCCCCAGCTCCTGCTCAGCCCACACCTGAGTGAGGATCCTGAGCCTTTGCTGGGAAAGCAGCAGCTTCCAGGAGGTCCCAGCAGCACCGTGGTGGGGATGAAGCAGCAGC